CCATGACCACCGGCTCGTGCCTTTACATGGTTTGTGGAATAACGGAGTGTTGGTGCCATTACAAGTTGTACCTTTTTTTATTTGTAATGCAACAGGGATTACTGTTTTTATTTCAGAACAGAGAAACTACGTATTTTTAATTGTGACGCAGGTGGTTCCACATCATGTTCATTGTCATTGTATAGGCTGCAGTAGAACCGACCTAGGATATTGGGGTCACGTCGACTTGACGGTACATCAACATGAGTCGCACCCAGCCTTGACTAATTGTCTGCTAGCGTCAAAGGTATCTCGGTGAAGGCATCTCGGCGAACAGTCACACCCTGCAGACAAAACAGGCCGGCGAGCTGAATCGGGTATAGCGCCTGGAGCCCCAGGTTGATATAAACTCCGGGACAAAGTCAAGTACCAGACGCTTCAATGTTGTCTACGACCATCGACCGAGCACAACACCAAAACAATACCCAATGGCAGAGAATAAAAGTTACGAACACATCAACCAACAAAGATGGGACGAGCGTGCTCCCTTTGTATGTGCTTCCACCACGCATCCGAGACGATATATCTGACCATAGTATCATTGTGTAGCACGCCGCCTCCGAGGACTACAAGATCAACAGTTTCTTGACTGACCCAACCTATATCAGCCATGTGGTCAAGTTTGACCAGACGCTTCTTGGTAGCATCCATGGTCTCAACTGCGCTCACCTACAATGCCACATTGGAACAGACACGTTGAGCTTGAGCCGTTTGGGCGCAGCCTCTGTGACGGGGCTTGATTTTTCCCCTGCATCTTTAAGAGAGGCTCGCAAACTAGCCTCGGCAACTTCTGCAAGCGGCGGCGAGAGGCTATCGTTTGTTCAAGCATCGGTATATGACGGCCTCAAGGTGCTCGTGCCGGGCACCTTCGATGTGGTGTATACTGGTATTGGCGCCCTCTGTTGGGTTCCACGTGTGCGCGAGTGGGCAGAGGTTGTTGCTGGCCTGTTGAAGCCGGGAGGACGACTTTTTATGAGAGAAGGCCACCCCATCTTGTTGGCATTGGATGACAAGTCGCCGGATAGGCTCATTGTAGATTTGCCTTATTTTGAGCGCGACGAACCCACCGTGTTCCATGACGAAGACACGTATGTGGACACGGGAGGGCACAAATTTGAGGCCTCGGCAAGTGCAGAATTCAACCACGGCCTGGGCGAGATAATAGAGGCTCTGTTATCACAGAAGATGCGAATCTCCGGATTGGTTGAGCATCAAAGCGTGCCCTGGCCGGCTATCCCGGCACAGATGGCGTCAGATGATAGAGGTAGGCTCTGCCCAACATCATCCCACCACGATCCCGAGACTTTTGGACTCATATATAATGCTAGGCGAATACAGTTTAAGAACCCAACCATGGCGAATACCTCATTCATATACCCTTCAGGCTATAAAGGAGTAACGGAATCTACACCAGCAACTACTACCTGATGCTCGTTCCTGCGGGCGCTTATTCAAGTCAATAAATAGAACTAGTGGCGTTGAATGGGCGAGATAGGATGAATTTGTTTGGACGTCGGATGAAGGCCTGCCGCATGGTGAAGCAGAATTGGCAATTTTTCAGCCCCTTGACTGGGCATCATTGGCTATAAAGCCGTCTCATTTTCCGATAGTTCCGCTCCCCCATCATCAACAGCTTCAGAGCTGAACCTGTCAATGCAGATCTAGCCCAATCAAGGCGACAAGATATCAGCCCCCAAATTGCAAGGCCCTTTATTACGTGTCCGCGGTGAGACCCGGCGTTTGTATCACCATACATGAACTGATACAAAGATCCTTTATACTCCGCCCGTCTTTACCTCTTCTGTGTACTCTTCACTCTCGTCGTATCTTGTTTCTTTTTCTCGACTTTTGAACTATGAAAGCCGCGACCTTTTGTGCCATTGTGCTCGCAAATGCGTCGGGCGTGCTGGCCCTGGACAGCCTGTCAGGCTACACAAAAGACATCCCCAAGTGCGCCTACTCTGCACTGGTTGATGGAATGAAACAAGAGGGTTGCGACATTTCGAACGTCACTGCCGAGGACTTTGACTGCCTTTGCAAGCACATTGGTGCTATTACGATTATCGTAGCAAAGAGTGTTGACTCGACTTGCACTGCTGGTACGTTGCCAAGGTTCCCTTTTTCGAGCGCCAGGGCCATGATGCTCTTCCCGTTTGCTTGGCTCATTTAGAACTCGACTTTGCGCAACCTTGAGCCAGACTAGCAGAGTGGCAGACTAATGCAAGCACGTTTTTAACTAGACTTTACCCAAGCCGCCGGATCAATGTGCGGCAGGTGGAACGTGGAAAGCACCACTGCAACAGACTTGGCTGCCGCGACGAGCGCTCTTGCGAATGCCCTCAACGGGAAAGGCTCCGATGCCAAACAGACAGCGACCGGAATATCAACGTCTGCCACTAAGAACATTGCCATGGTGCCTACTGGTGGTGCAATTGGCGTTGTGGGTGGACTCGCGGCGGCAGTGGCAGGTGTTATGTTATGAAAGCTTGACAAGAGTACAGAGTACGCAGGGCTACTTGTCTTTTGTAATGTATGTGAAGAGCAGTGGTTGAATGTAATTTCAGCGTCCCAGGAGCCGTAGTGCCAAACACAAATAGCCAAGAGGGATTATAATTGCCCAATAAAGCGCCGGCTAATTCAGTCGTGTCTTATATATTGACTACTTTCAGTCCAGGAACTCCAGATCAACTCTCTGCTTCTCAAGGTGAGCTAACATCAGAGAAGAGCCGCTTGTGGTGGGTCTTGATGGCTGTGAGGACACAAAAATTCAGGGCAAATGAGGCCTCAAAAAGCGCGAACTGGCAGATGACTTCATTGTAGGAGTCAGCGCAACAAGAATATCCAGCTCAGACACAAGGAAATTGGCAATTGTATCGCACGAGATTCCTGAAAGCAACGGAGACCATGTTGTCAAATTAGAGGTATTCCATCAAATTTACCATTTGGTATGTCATCCACATCTCACTTTGTTCAGCGCTATTGATAGTATAACACATTGCGGCGGAGTCTTTGGCCTGATGCGTTCCCTGATGATGCTTTAACAGGGCCAGAGGGGAACCGGATAATGAACCGAGTCATGGGCGGATTATCAGCTTTACCAATACAGAAACATTAAGTAAAAAGAAACTTTACTCGGCTAACACTGTATCTTGTTGTTACCCGACTGTGTTGACCGGTTTATAAAGAAATTCTATGTGTAAGTCATGCTGGACTCTCAGGCGGGAAAAGGCGGCCAGATGAGCCCGCAGAGGCTGATTCATTTGAGGAAAAGCTTGCAATTGACATGCGACATCTACATGTCGAGACTTTGAGCGCATTCAAAGGTGGGCATTTGAGAGACAAGTAAGAGGCTGGAGCGATGCGGCATAATTAGAGTAAACGCGGAAATAAAAGCGTAGAGACTGGAGATTTACAGTCTTGCACATTGCTTAGATCCTCATACCACCCAGGCAACTCGTACGCCTTTAATGCCGCGCAAAAATGTGACGCCGCCTCCAATGTGCGCTCCAACTCGGCCTCGCGCTGTGACGGTTGACTCTCTTCCCGCAAGTCTCCAAACTAATTGATCGCTTGGTTCTGCCCGCCCCGGCAAGGAAGTTGTTTACCGGCGCCGAAGCTAGGGTTTGGGAGTCACTAAGGAGTCAGGACCAGGTTACGGGGCGCATTTCATCCCATGTTGAGGCTGGTCAATAGGAAGGTGCATGAACCTATCGACATTTCTCGTAGGGGCACACGCAGGATATGGGATGCCAAAAACGGCAAGCAATTTCGGCCGCACTCTGGCGTCTAATAGGACATCGATTACAAGCATTACAACGTAATCATTTCTTATCTACCTTGCCAAGCATCTTACACTCATATGCAAGCTTAGGGTAGAGGCACAGCGGGTATACTCAGTACCACTAAGGAAGACATACATACATGAAAAAGGCACGGGCCGTTGTCACCGACCACTCTCCACTTCATTGTTGCTGTACCCTGGGTATACTGTGGAAGTTTGTTGGCATTGATAACTAGCAATTGGTATGCTCGGCAAGCACAAATACCACTCGCTACGTAGCGAGCTGTCTTCCATACGTAATCGCCGACATTTTATTTCTCTCGCCGTGTCTAGATCCACCCGTTCAGGTTCACCGACAGGATGTAGAAGGGCCCGCATAACTACCACGGCAACTTGGTAACGAACCAGACGGCACGGACAATGGGCCAACCGGACCTTTTCCAACACTGGAGCAGACTAACCTCGGAGTACTCCCGAGCGACTTGAGTTCCGGGCTAGAACATGGTTATACGCACACGCAGGACCAGGTCAACGATTGGTCTGGCTACGTCAAAGAGACCATCGGGGTTGGTTAGCATGTCAACACGGGCCGTCAGAGACATGTTCACATGTATTGATTATTCCATCAACGAGGCTCTCGCCTCTACTTCGCTTCCTTTACCTCTTACATAAATTCCTTGTTGGTCCTACTGCACAAAAATCTTCAAAACTCTTGGCATTCAAGTACTTTTGACTGGTGATGCATGCAACCTCTTGTTGGTCCTTCCCGACATTCAAAAACCGCACTTGCGGTGATATAATTGGCTATTTGAATGGGACTTCTGGAATCTATCCAATAGCCACCGGTGGGTGCCGCTATGCGCTGGCAGGGGGCGGCCGAGTTGCGCCGTTGCCATTTAATTCCGAGATAATCCCCCTGGTTTGCGCCACCAGTTCATATCGTCAAGGACCCAGCGTTATACTACTTCTGCCCCGATAAACCAGACGTATTTTGCGACATAACGACACAGATCTGGGAGAGAGATTTCTTATAAATAGGCCATCATAAACCTAGAATCTCTTCATCTTTCTCTTTCCTCTTCAGGTTACCATTTTGACTATAATCTAAACCATCCACCCCTCTTATTCATAACACATGCTTGAGACCGTGATTATCTGCATTTGCGGACTTCTTATAACCATGTTGGTTGGATATCTACTATCGCTGTTACCGGCAGCCAATGCTCTGGCCGTGTCTAGTAACGGAACAACCGTGTTTGCACATGACGCGTTATCAACCTACAGCGGCACGATGCAATCTTCATTCGCCAGCCTACCCCAGGGAGTATCCGTGCATAAGACCTATGCGGATTTTAACGAGACGGACTGGGCTGAGTGGTGCTATCATATGGCCCAACGCAGCTCTCACACGGAAGAGGTGCAACACATATGCGAAACAAAGACACTTCCAGCAGGGCACCTAAATAAGCGGCAGGGCACCTGCTTTTACAATCCCCTGATCATCAGACGCGCAGTTGTTGGAGCTACCGCGGTGGTCGCAGCTTTATACGAGTGCCAGACGTTGGCGGACAACTTCGCCAATAGCTGCTTGGCGCAGCCGGACGACAATAACAGGGGCAAGTTCCTTCGTGGCTATGACTGCCTCAAGTACGGCGGCGGGCTCTTAATCGGCTTCACAACAGCTTCAACAATCCAATTTACAGCCGGAATGTATGCTGAAACCATAGGAGCGTGGTCTCATACCATTATGGGAAACTGGTTGGCGCCGCCAGAAGGACAGAACCCTGTTAAGCGTGACTGCGGCTGGCAGTACGAGTACCCTGGTACTGAGGCGAAGCTACGCTTTTACGGATCTTACGGGTTAAAAGTTTCATGCGAGGGCCCGTGTAAAGAACCTCATTACTGGCGAGGTGCGAGAAGCGATTCCATCGCAGCCATGCTCGGCCAACTTGCTTGGGAAGCCGGATACTATCCGGAACAGGTGCTTTGGTCTAAAGATGGAAATGATGAGATGGTGAGTGCATGTCACTTGACTTTGGAATCAGAAGGCTTTGGGTCTTGTCCTGAAGTAAAGCGCGGCGACTGCGCATAGAGAATACGACAGCCACGCGGGCTTTTGTCTTATCAAGAGCCGCCTTACTATAAAATGGCCCGCGAGGCGAGGGCATTGTACGTGAATAGTTGCGAGCAGAATCCATTTATAAAGCCGATCAGTGGTACAACGTTGGTAGATAATGAATTCAGGGTCTCATTAGGCATTTATATGATAATAATGACGAAGATGTATTTTGCGTCCAGCGACTTTGGTCGCTCAGGTCTCCCATCGGAGTACAGCACGTGCTGAGCTAAATTATGTACATGATCCGCCGGAAAAAGCTTCACCCAGCGCTTCCTGCAAGATCTCGCAGGTTAAACCACCAGGCTTAATGTCAGGAGGCGGCCTTCTTACCACCTCAGCCGGTGGGTTTTAGAGAGAGTCCAACCTCTTCAACTATGTTGGCTAAGACTTTGTCAAGAAGGGTAGATAGGGGCCCGGCTTTATGTCCTGGCTTCAAAGCACTTTCAGTTGATGCTTTTTGGAGTTTTTGATCCAACACGGTGACTACTTTTTCGTGGATCCCGTGGAAGCCGTGCCCTTGGAACGCCAGACCAGTTGATGAGGAAATGGTCGAGGAGGAAATGGTCGAGGATGGGCGAGGCAGGACATGATCAAGGATATGACACGGAGCCCCTTGAAACTATGAAGCAACGTTATCAGCATATTGAAACACAAAATGTTGGCCCTTCGTCGGCAGTCGCGACCAACCGGCTAACCATGGGAGACGAAGTGGTGGTACCTTAACGCTTTCAGCAATTGTCACGATATGTCCTTCATGTAGGACATATGTGCCGCCCACGTACATTGTTTTCTCGGTCAATTGCATCCGGTTGTACGCATAGTATATCTTGGTCTGGTCTAATTTTATGCGATTCGTAGTCTCTCCCATCCGTGGTTAATGAAGACTTGCTGCTTGTTTTCGACAGCATCATTGCCGCTCATGATGAAGCCGACAATGCCTCCAAGGCTGTCGATCCAGCGCAGATTTATGACGAAACTGTCCTAGGCAATCTGACAATTGACAGTTGACACCGTCTCGAGTCTCTCGCTGTCCGGTACTCCTTACTGTACTCGACGACTGCCCCGAACAGCTTGTAGACCATTCCACGCTTCATCTTATGGCTGTTGACCCCATGATTGACCTGATTCAGTGGTTTTATACACATTCAAGTGCATATTACGCTTCCAGTGATCAATCCAAAGCTGCTCTGTGACAACCCGCACCTGGAGGCTGGCACGCGACCTTGTACGTTTACCTCGACTGTTGACGCTGAAGAATAACATGGTTATCGTGCTGTCACACCAAACTGCCTTTGAGGAGACGCGGAAGAGATGTGCCTTCTTTGTAGGGCATCGACTTTAACATCTGCCACGTCAAGGCCAGTAGTCCAAGGTGACCATCCTGAACCTTGAAGCATGTGCTGTGCCATGGTTAATGCGATATCTGCGTACGAGGACTTGGCCATATATTGCAAGTACTCAAGAATAACCCAACAAGTTGATTTGGAGCTTACCAAAGGGCAGAGCCAAACACCATTTACGGCATGGGCTTCAAAGACCAGCAACTTCTCGTGGAATACGTCTGACTCAATTAGCAATGATGATAGCCTTGTGCCATGAGCCTCTTAAAGAACCCTCTGAGCTGATGGCGACAAGTATTTGTACTTGGGCACATTAGGCGCGTTGAGCGCTCGTCGAGGAGGAACCTTTGCGCCGGTTGCAGGCACCAGGACTTCGCCTTTGGCTTACGCAGACTGAAGTTGACATAATTTAGATTGTTCAATTCAGCCACACTGTCCGCCCTGAAGCGAGGGCATCGTCAACATTAACAAATCATCTCTCTCAAATTAACATCAAAATACCATATTCACTACCCAGGGCTTATTATTTCCCTCCTCTCCATGTCTCAAAATAGCTGCGTTTACTAGCAGAGTCATTCCCTCTCCGTTAGCCGCTGCCGGCGCGATAGTCCCGATATTTAGCACACCTTCTCTCTCGACAGCTTCAACGTCGGTAATAGTTGTTCTTGTTGAATGAAACGTTGCCATCTGCACGCCGTGTCCTTCGTGTATATGTCCAAAGCAGTGCATCTTGGGCTTAACCCTCGTGATTGCTTCCCACAGTCGTGGACATCCAAGATGTTGCTGTTTGCCGTTTTCATGTTTCCCACCGAGGTCGAGTCGGTAATTATTTGATGCTGGAAATGGAGGACGGGGCGGCCCATGCGTCACTATAATATCGATACCTTGATCATCTAGGATCCTCCTCTCTGTCCCATTGAACCGGTCCTCCTCTGGGCTATACCCAAAGGCATAGCCAGCAAAGGCCGGCGTATACTGCGACGCATAGACTTTAAAGCTACGCCCATCATGGAGAGCAATCTCGTGAGTACCCTCGTCCAGGAAGCGTACGCCACAGCGGGTATACTCGTCCAAGGTAAATAACGCCCGGGCACGTACTGGTTCGTCCTCATCATCATCGCTATCCATATTTTCATCCCACCACTCGGCATCCAGGGATACATCGTGGTTGCCTGGAATAACAAGTTTAATCTCGGCTAGGCAAGCTGCAAGAGAGTCGAGAGCGCGGCGGTAATTAGATAGGCCACCGATCATGGTGAGGTCACCGCAGTGGATAACTACGTCGACGGCAGGTAGGGACGCCGGGACTGGAAATGCATGGTCGTGCGTATCGGAAAGAACGAGGAAGCGGATCTGCTGCTGCGTCATAGTGGCCGTTGGGATCGGGCTGGTTGTGGTTCAAATGTTGTAAAATTGAGATTTTCCGACAGTTGTATGGAAAAAGAAAGAAGAAGCTGTGAGAAATATGTCGGAAAGCTAAGTATTAGTAGCTGAGGTGCAACCTATAAAGTTTATGTAGCAACATTGAAAGGCTTGAATGGGTCCGGTAGTTTTGTTAAACCTTGTATTTGCTTGGATGGGTACTGGCTTGGTGGCAGTAGGTTTGGCGGATCAAAACCTAGTTTTGGTGGTGGCACGGCTTGGATTCACAACAATGAATTTGAAATATGGAAATAGCATTGATACATGTAGCATAATAAGCTTGTCCAGTTGGCACCGTACAAGAAAGCCGCGAGGTGGGCGGCCATCCTGGTCCTACACCACGCAACGAAAACGTACCGCATGATGCGAGACACAGTCAAGGGCAAGCTCCGTGTGATTAATAAGGAGGCACTGGTAGTGATGGGAAGGGTAAGGACTTCCTGGGCTGAGAGGTTCATTTGACTCGATACTTTTATTGTTGCTAACGCAGGTTTAGGATTTCTATTTACATTTCCAAGTATCTGACAATTGTTTACCTTCTTTTCCAAGGCAAATTGCTGTATAAGGACGACTACTCTCTCAATACGTTTAAATGCGCGACTCGTTGAGAATAAAGAGTAGGCCACACCCCATCGCTAGTAGAATAACGGGCGAGTAATAAGTTGGCGAGTAATTTCTTTATAATGTAACATGGTGTTTTAACTAGAGATAGTCCAACAGCACCAATGAAAAGGGGTTCTTTTGCCTCATTATAGGGTTTCCTCTCCATCTGTTGTGCGCCGATCAGGGCCTAGACCGACTCATCTGGCCTCGCTGTCTACTATATCACAGTACTGCACTGCCCCTGTGGCTGTGCAAGCTATTTTCCGGCTAGGATTCAATGTTAGACACAGTTCAACATGGACGCCCAACATGAGGGTACGCATCGACACTCTAACTCAACCACTTTAAGCCAGAAAACGTTCCATGGCCATGACTCGGTCATCGAAAGCCTAATTCCACCAGGCAACGATGGCCAGGGATTCCACTTGCACGAAATGCAAGATGAAGTGTTTTACGTGACAGTCGGTTCCCCCAACAAAAAGAACAAATAAGGAAGAAAGGGTCCTTTCGGATTATTCCTCCTTGGCCCCTTTCGGTCTACTGTGAGCTCGTTGCCAACTCTGCGCAAGAAAGGCAAAGTCGGCTTCCGCGTACCTCGCAAGACGAGCGTACATGCCGCGGCTGGCGAGATGGTCACAGTTCCCGTCCGCCTGCCGCACAAGTTCAGCAATCCGTTTAATGAGACGGTGTTCATTGACTATGGAAACATGGGCTGCTGCCGTCAATCTTCATGACGCATACTTGTTGCGAGGGCAGCGAGAGAAAATAATTTAAACTTTCATTCTGTTTCTAAGAGGCAGTTTTGAGAGCTCCATTGCATTATCGAGTTCATTTCTCAGCAAAGACACTGAATGAGGTCTTCCCTAATAATCTCTTATCGGAACTATGTCCAAACTGGCTTCTTTTGCTTTATAAAAGAATCCAAATCCACGGGCTTGCTGCCTGTAAGCTTCTCCACCGTGTCGTCCATGTAGTCTTCGCCGCCTCCCGCTGCGAACGTCTCCAGGCTTACCATAAAACCGGCGAGCGGAGCAGGGAACTTGAGGGTGCTTGTCATATAATGCAGCCTGTCCTCAGGCGACATGTTGGCGTGTCGAATGGGACGACCCAGAGCATTGCTCAGCCTGGCAGCCACCTACATGGTTGAGGTTGTTAATTATGCGTTCCTGTTTCACGAAAAAACTCTCATGAGTAAATGGACTGCACCTACATCATCATGCGTGAGCAGCTCGGGTCCAACAATACGGTAATCTCTGTTTGGTGGCTCGGGCTGGGTCAAGGCGGCAAAGGCAACGCCGCCAACGTCGAAAGAACTGATAAAGGGCACCTTTGCATCGCCGACACAGCTGTATATGGTGCCCTCCTCACGGACAGCGTTGAGGTGATAGCTTTCAGAAAAGTTATCTGTGAGGCCGAGGAGACGGGTTTATTTGGTCAGCCCAAGACTGGCTTTCTCATCAGGACAACAGTCATACTCCGGGCTACATCGTGGTGCGACAGAGTGCCCATACGTACCCATAAACCAAGTCGGGCGGCAGACGGCCCATTCGACGGCCTTCTCGACCATGTGCTGCCACACTTTGCCCGGACCGGGCCCGCCCAGACTGG